AGAGTATTAGGCCATCTAGTGCAGGCTATCTGTCATATGCAGGACAGGAGATGGCTGTGTTCATGCCTCCTGTCATTTCTTTCTATTTATAGACTAGCCATTGCTTTGAGTCCATGGCCACTTCTGGTTTTCCCCCCTTTTCTGTTTCATGTTCCTGTTTGTCTTGTACATGAGTCTAGAGAGCCTTATATCCATCAACTCTCAGTCTGTTATTACCAGTAGAGGCCTATTCTCTCATACGTCCCACTTCGCTGTTACTCTGTGTGAGGAATGAGATCTCCGCTCGATGCTGTGATTTTAAGGCCCATGCTTATTCCATTTGGTGCTTCACATCCACTAAGGTCTCATTGTTCTCTGCTGAGTCTGCTGAAATGCATAAAGGATAAATGACTAAACTGATAAAGGATAAAAGACATTCTTAATTACCTGGGCCTGGAGGCCATGCACAGCATCTCTGTTCATTTTAACTGGTGACAAGTAGTCACATGATTCCACTAGACACAAGAGGACTGGAAAACTGTAATCTACTATGTCCCTAAAGTACTCAAGAGCAATGGTGTCTCTCTGGAGACTAAGGTGCGCCTGATACAGGCCATGGTCTTTGCAATCACTTGTTATGTATCAGAGAGTTGGACAATGACTAGGGAGGACAGAAGGAGAATTGATGCCTTTGAGCTGTGGTGCTGGAGAAGAGTATTGAATGTACCATGGACTTCCAAGAAAACAAACAGATTCATCCTGGAGAGGATTAAACCAAGCTACTCCTTGGAGGCAAGGATTCTGGGGCTTTGTGTGACATACTTTGGGCATGTTCCAGGAGGGACGGGTCCTTGGAGAGGGACATCATGCTTGCGAGGGTGGAGGGACGGCGCAGGAGGGGAAGACCCTCTATGAGATGGATTGATTCGGTGACTGGGGTAATCGGGATGGGTGTGTCAGAGGCAATGCGATTGGCACAGGATAGAGCAGGGTTTAAGGCTGTTGTGCATAAGGTTGCTATGAGTCGCAAACGACTCGATGGCACATAACAACAACAACAATACTATGTCCCAAAGTGCGAAGGGTAGGGCAGGGGTTGTAATTGTCTCTGCTATATCTGCCATCTCCTGTCCTCTCTTCTCCAGCCTGCTAAGGATCCTGGATACTTTATCCAGGATTATTGACAGAAAAATCAGGGGCAGAATGGAAGTAACAGATCAGCCAACCACTTAGCTTCTTAAACTTTCCAGTTGGCAAAGTGCTATGTAGCTTTAGACTTGAGCCAAGAGGAGCTCTCTTGGCACAATGGATAAAGTGCTTGACTTTCAACTAGAAGGTCAGAAGTTTGAACCCATCAGTTGCTCTTCAGCAGAAGGCTGTGGCAATTTGCTTCTCTAAAGATCTAAAGCCTTTGGGGCAGTTTTGCTTTGTTGTATGTATAAGTCAGAATTGACTCAGTGACAGTGAATTAGACTTAAGCTGGGTCTTAGTGATTATTTAGTTTAGTGACTTAAAACTGTTTTTTCAAGTGGATCACTTTTATCCACTTGAAAATCCAGTTTCTGTGACAGATGAGAGTGAAGTGGCTCCAGTTGAAAAGGCTCTTAGTCACACTATTCCATTCTCAATGAACCCTATAGCTGTTTCAAGTAAACCCAGAGCTCTTTGGATCCCTTTATTTCATAGTCAGGATAAACTGAGACACAAAGGCATGATTTGCTAAAAACTTGATTTATTAGCAGCAGTTTTAAGATTGGAACGTAGCTCGTTATTCCTAGGTGGATGCACTTTGCCATGCTACTTGTTTGAGAGTTGTACCTCCCTTTCAGCATGTTTGAGCATGGGTTTCAGCATGGGTCTGAGACGGAGTCTATCTGCCTCATGCTTTTAGCTGCTTCTCTTTGGTAGTCCAGCAGTCAGGACAGGTAGGTCTAGGAGAGGGCAAGAGACTCCTGCATGTCTGGTTGTGATATTTCTTTCCATAATGATAATTTTCCCCATGGAGTGGAGAGTGGCACCTCAGTTGGCAGGGGTGTGGTAGCCCGAGAACTTGGCGTGGGGATGTGAGCTCATGTCAACTACCTTGCCCTCTGACTCATATGTTTATGGCACTTAGAAAGAAAGGAATGTATACATTGCTGTTGACTTATGGCTGACTCTCCAGTAGGTTTTCAAAGGCTGTTAGCCACATGGAAGGAGATTGCCCATCTTTTCCCATAGAGCAGCTGGTGGATTGGAACCGCCTGCTTTTGGATTGGTAGTGTGTAATAAAAGAACATGAATTCTGGAATGAACCACTTAATCATCTTGAGGCTCAGAGTTGTCCTACAATACAAATATATAAGTAAACAAACAAAACCACAAACTCATTGGCTCTGGGTCAATTATGACTCAAAGCGATCTTGTATGACAGAGTAGACCTGCTCCATAGAGTTCCCAGGGCTATAGGAAATTGAGCTGCTAACTGAAGGGCCATGCTTTTCTAGAGGTTCAAATCCACCAACCGGTTCTTTGGAGAAAAATGGGCATCCTCCTCCCATTGACTTTACAGACTCAGAAAACAAACGAAAATCAACTGTGAGTCAGTTCTGACTCAATAGCATTCAGTTTGAGTTTAAATCTTTATGGAAGCTGACTTCTGCATCCTTCTACACAACAGCTGTGGGTTCGAACCACTGATCTTTCAGTTAGCAGCTGAGCTCTTTGAATATGATAATATTTAAGATGTTAGGAGTATGATTGCCTTTGTTATGTGCCATCAAATTGACTATAACATATATTGACCCGATGAATGACAGGTCAGATACTGTACTATCCTTATGATCTCTACATGCTTGAGCCCATTGTTATAATCAGGTTGTCAGTTCATCTCGTTGAGGGTCTTCCTCAGGTTACCCTCAATGAAAGTGTCAGAGAAGGAGAGGAAGACCCTGAATGAGGTGAGTAACTCACTGCTGTTGGGGTAGTTCTAATTCAGTGACTCTTCATTGAGTGTGTGAGACACACTCAATGTGTGTGTGTCAATTACAATGGGGTGAGACTGCCTCCCTTTCTCCCTCAGAGCTGTGGGTGGGTTGGAACTGCTCATGATGCCCAGGCTTTGGGCTACTACAGCAATTTTCTATGAATGATGCCACTGAAACTCCCTAAACGGAAGTAGGCAACATGTATTCTTAGGGGAGATTCAGAAAGAAACTGTTTCCTAATACTGTTTTCAACTTTTACTAATAAATTAGTACTTGAGACCATTTAAAATGAACTTTTGCTGTTTGTCTCTCCTTGTATATAGAAACAACACACTGATATGGCCACCGCCACTTTTACATTTTAATTATCTATAACCCTCCAGTCTAGCATACATGTATAAATCTCAAAATAATATCTCTTGGTATCAGTTTTGGGCAAGTGGTGAACACTTTAATAAATACAATGTGGTTGATTTTGAGCTACCTGTGCTATTTTGAATTGTTCACTTGATTTTATTTCCTGATATACCATGGAAGAGTTTGATATCCCCCTGAAATTTTATTTCGGTTCATAGTAACTCTGATTGTACTTGGACCCAAAAGATAAGCTTTGTAAATTTCATTTATACTTATTCTGGGTAGGATCTTCTACGTATCAGCAAGGGTTTAAGTTAAAAGGCAAGCAAATAATAATAAAAATCCTCACTTATGTCAAATTAGGGAGGGACAAATTTACTGTCATAATATTATGTATAAAAGAACTATGGTGTTAGTTGTTAGAAGGATAATTTGGCTGTTAAGATGCATAACCTAGGCAAGGGAGGTGATGGTGTTACTGTACATTGCATCAGATCACACATGTTTGATTTAAGTGGAAAATTAATTTGACTGAATAGGAAGGAGCCGTGGTAATGCAATAGCTAAGCACTTAATTGCTAATTGAAATATTGGTAGTTTAAACCTACCAGTCACCCCACGGATAAAAGATACTACAAGATCCCAGCAGCTTGGGCAGCAGGTGGAGAGACAGTGGCCAAGCAACCCGTCTATGTGAAGGCTCTGTGCACTCCTCGCCCCACAGGCACCCTGCACAAGCCCTTCGTGCAACCAAGATGCCAAGAGGAAGGTCAGAGTGGCCGAAGGGGCAGTGAAGGAGCTGCCCAAGAGGAGATCAGCGAGGTTGTCACATAAGCCACCTACAAAAGTGGAAAATCCCAAAACGACAGCAGGAAAAGAGAAGACTTTTGACCAAAAAAGTGCAAACAAAAGGGAAAATGGGAGCAAAGGGAAAACAGGCTGAAGTGACTAACCAAGGAACTGAAGAAGAACCCCACTGTTATGAAGAGAACTGACATGGGTGGTTGGCAGGAGACTAGGAAAAGGGTGGAAAAGATAATGAACACTGTATTATAACAGACAAGGGAGAGAACTGTTTGAAAGGAATATACAATTATGCAATATACATATGACAACAGTCCAGAGTAAGAGGACATTGCAAAGAGGACTGGGGAGAGGGGAGGGAGGAAACGGTACAAATTGTGAATCCCACTTGGTCATGGTGAAGTCTTTTTTAGATGCACTTTTGTTTTCTATTGGCTAGAATTTTTTTTAAGGCTTTTTGCATCTATATTCATGAGAGATATTGGTCGGTAGTTTTCTTTCTTGGTAATATCTTTGCTTGGTTTTGATATTGGAGTTATGCTTGCATTGGGGAATGATGCTAGGAGTGTTCCTTCTTTTTCAATTTTTTTAAAATAGTTTAAGTAGAATTTGTAATGAATCCTCTCTGCTCTTCTTGGCAGTCCATGGTATGTTCAAAACTCTTCTCCAGCAACACAACTTAAAGGCATCAGTTCTTCTTCTGTTCAGCTCTTTGATGCAAAGCAAGAAATTGTGAACACCATATAGTATTCTTTTTTTCAGGTTGTGACTCTTTTTGGCCATGGCTAGTTAATTTCAGATTCTGAGAAATATATTAGTAAGTGCGTGGGAATGGAGAATAGCCATGATACCCAAGAGTAAAATTTAAAAACATTTTCTTACTTTACATAACAGCTATTTTGAACTGGAAAGCAGTGGCCTGAGAGACGAGATTCGATATCACTACATACATAATGGGAAGCCAAGAACACAGGCACTCCCGTACCGGATGGCGGATGGACAGTGGCACAAGGTCGCCCTTTCCGTTAGTGCCTCTCATCTCCTACTCCATGTTGACTGCAACAGGTATGTCTTGGCCTTTAATCTTTCGTGATTTTGTCCTTGAAACTAAGCAAGGGAAAGGGAAAAATCCGAGTCCTCCAAGCCTGACTGAGAAACAAAAAGCAGGGCATCCTAATTGTAATTTAACCCGCCGAATGGGCCATTAGGCACGCTGAAATGACCAACTGTAATAGGCTAAGAAAACAATCCATTAAGATGAAACAGTATCCCATGATTAGGAATAAATGTACAAAAGGTTGATTACAGATTGGGGACTATTAAGTGCACCTTGGGGTACTCCAGGCACTGGCTGAAATTCCATGGAGCTGTGATCCTAGTTTTAACTGTGATATATTGTTGTTGAGTTCATTCCACTTGGGAGCGAATAAGCCAGGCTACCTTAGAATGAATCTGAGAAGCCTGTGCTACTGATGCGGCTAATTCTGTTTCACTTCATCAAGCACAGCATTGCTTAAATATCTTTTCCAAATGAATGCTTCTTAGAAAGCCTGCTCTTTGAATCCTTTGGAATTGATATAATCTATTCTCTTCAGAGGAGTGAGCCTTTCAGCTTGTTAGAAGCAGGCCTAATGGTGGGGTCTGGGAGGAATTTCACAGGAGATTATGGGTTGGGTTGGATAGGATGACAGGTCTGTCATTGGAGACATCTTTACTGACAGCTGAAGAAAGGTCCTATTGGTCTCTACTGGGCCATTTGTGGCTGTCCAGCTGTGTGATGGCAGCCATGGGGAGCATTTTGATCTCCCCAGAACCCACTGAAAATCCTCATGGACAGTGATCTGAATCCAACGACAAAGGGTTTATTATATTTCAACTAGTACCCTGGTTCTTCTTAATAATGCCTTCAAAATGAAAATGGCTATTCAACCGTAGGATTCATTTTCTTGGGCCCAGTCTAATGAAAAGAGCAGCTAAGTATAGTTTTTCCTCGAAAACCCACCAAGATGAGGGACAGCCCAAGGTCAGCCAACTCTTGAATACATTTCTGATGAGGATACTTGAGTGTTCTTGACATTTCAGGTTAAATAAAGGTCAGCCATTTGGAAATGAGCCTTACACCCTTTGGTGGGATAGATCTAAAAGTGTTGCATATTTTGGGGGTGGTGGTGAAAGACGTCTGAAGAGTCTAGACACAAGCTCTAGACTTTCTAGGCGATCCTAATGCCTTGTTGTCCTAGAGACACAGATTGAGTATGAGTAGATCTAACACATGGCTGCTGTAGTCACTTCACCCTCAGCACTCATCGTCCCGTTCGAGAGGTAAAGTGCCCTGGCATATAGGACTCTTGCTCCCTCCTTGCCTCCTAAAGTCCTCCTGCTCCCTTTTTGCCTCCATCACATCTGTGCTACCCAAAGGGAGGAGAGAGGAAGGGCCCTGGTATTTACGGTGTGTAAATACCCCATAGGGTTTTCACAGCTGTAGTTTTCCTGAATCACCAATTGCCAACCGTTTGGTTAGCAGCTGAGTGCTTAATTGTTGTGCCAAGGCTCCTCAAAATGGAAACAGTATAATATTAATACATATGCATAGATTGTAAATGTTAAATGAAACAATATACATGATGTATGTGATATGATGCTTGATTTGGGGCACTTAATGGTTTAATATGTATTTGCTTTTGTTGTTATTTATTGTATATCTATCTGGTGCCTTTTTGACTCTGCATTCAAAGTTCCATCCATTTTGCATTTTATTTAATTGAGATTTTAATGAAAGCTTATAAAGAACTTGGGTTTCCAGTCATTTATTGTTGCACATTTTCCTCCCTGCTCTCCCTCCCCTCACAGATCACTTTTGCCTTTGGGCAAAAAGTTCTTTCAGTGTTAAACAGTTAGCCCCACCTCAGACTAGTTTACTAAGTAGCTCTTATTCTGGACTCTTGTCATGCCAATCATACCTAATCATATATTCCTTTTTTTACAGTTCTCTCCCTCTTCTGTTTCAGTGCTGTGTCGATTATTTATCCCCTCTTTTCTTAGTTTTCCCCCAGCCCCCATGTCAGTCCTGTTTTATAACAGTGGCATTATACCATATTTGTATTTTTGTGACTGAGATAATTCACTCAGCATAATGTCCTCCAGGATCACCCATTTTGTATAATAATTCATGAGGTCCTTGTTTTTCAATCATTTTGCATTCTTTGTGGCCACTGCGTCCTGCCTTCCAGGAAGATGGCAAGAGCCTGGGCTATCTGGAGCACACAGTATTCTTCAGGCTCATGGACTCCACGTTCTCCTCCCATTCCTCCTGAACGTGTTGACTCTGGCTTAGGCATAGCGTGCATCAGCTGTGCATAATAAGCTCTGGAGAGATCATTATCACTTAATGATTCATAGTCCTGGACTACTCGGGTTTGTTTTTGTTTCTAATAGTGTTCCAGGTGATATAATTTTTTTTAATCTTTTAAAAAATTTCTACTTGTTTATTTACAAAATTCAAAACCATTGTTTTCAAGAACAAACTCTTCCCATTTCCCTCACATCCCCACCCATCAAATTGTACAACCCCATGATTAATCCTTCCCCTCCCCCTGCACATCCTCATCCCTCTGCTTCCAGCCTCTCCCACCCCTCTTGGATCCTTGCACTCATTCTGCAATAATGGATTTACACAATATTTATCCTTGTGGGACTGAGTTAGTTCAGTCAGCATAATGCTCAGTCCTGGATTACTCTTGAGATTTTTAAAAGATGAGTCAGGAGAAAGAAAAGTCCTCAAAGACCTGACCTCAGGAGGGACAAAGCTTTAGGGAAAGTTCAGAAATATGATTCCCTAACTACTAGTGGCTTAGGGGTAAGGAGTTGCACTGCCAACTCAAAGGTACAGAATTCAAATCCACCAGTTGGCCTTCAGGAGAAAGATATGCTGTCTCCTACTATGTGATTTATAGCCTCTGAAAACCCGTTGGAGGGCCAGTTATGAGTTGGTTCTCACTTGACAGCATATAAGAACAACTACACATAAACATGTTCTGGAGAACTTTCTAAAAAGTACAGGTGACCAAACCTTGTCTCTGACTTACTTGATCAGATAGATTCCTTAGAATTTAAGAATCTAATTTTTTGAAAAGTTCCCTACATAGTTGTTATCTGTCCGCTTGGTCATGGAGTGACATTTTAAAGCTTGTTTAGATAGAGGGGGAGCTGATTGGAGAAAAGATGGAACACTGGCACAAAAACAGGGTGAAGGAGGGGGATTGAATAACCAAGTACCTGAAGCAAGCTCCCAAGAAGACATAGGAAATATTTTAGAACAGAAAGATACTGATTGCACAAAAGAAACGTCTTCATAGCTTTTCTTCCAGGAAGTTTTAACAGACTGGTTTTAGAGTGGTAAAGGCTCTGCTATATAAAAAAGTTGGTCTACCACTTCCTATCTAGGTCATTCACCAGAAAGTGAATTTCACTCTCTAAGCTATGCATGCCACACTGTGTCAGGATTCTTTGTTTTCTATCCCTTGCATTCTTAGTTATGCTACCTTGTTTTTCTCAACCCCTCACCCAGTAGAGTCTTGCTGATTAGATGATGACAAGGATGGTGAGAGTTGAGAGTTAATATTAATATACTGAGTCTCAGCTGTCCGAGGAATACTGTTAACCACTTTCACCTGTTCATTCCATAGTCATGCTGTTATTTTTATCTTTTTCAGATGAGGGAATTGGGTTCTATTCTGCTGCTAATAAGTGGCAGTGCTATCTATGATTTAAACTTCACCCTGACTCCTAAGTACCTGCTTCTGACTACTGGTTAAGGAACTCTGGTGGGTGAAGGGTGAGTAAAGCATTCTGTTGCCAGTGGGTGGAATTCGCCAGCTGCTCCTTGGGAGAAAGATGGGCAGTCTCCTTCTGTGTGATTTATAGCCTCTGAAAACCTGCAGGGGTGTCTGCTATGAGTTGGTTCTAACTTGATGGCAATGAGGTGATATTTTTTTGTTCTAACTACTGGGCCATCGTGTCCAGTGGGAACCACTGGTGCTACATTTGAAACATGAGGAAAATCCAGGAACCTGATGTGTGTGAGAGGCTTGCTGCTTTTTTTACACTTTATTTTGTGTCACGGTGACTGTTACGATGGGCTCTAGCATATCAGGGTCATTAGGATGGTGCAGGACAGGGCAAGAATCAGATCTGTTGTTCAAATGAGTCATAGTCCTCGTGGTGTCACCTGACAACCTGTGCCTTTTGTTTTGTTGGTGGTGCTGAGTACCATCCAGTTGGAACCAACCCATAGGTGACCACCTCTCTGACAGGTTTTCAGAGGCAGTAAATCACATAGGAGGAGATTGCCCATCCTTTTCCCTGCATTGCAGCTGGTGGATTAGAAATGTGAGCCTTTGGGATTATAGGGTAGCTTCTTACCACTAGGCCACCAGAGCTCCCTGATTCTAACTGTTGATATTATTGTTATTTGCCATCCAATCAGAACTGACTTACAGCTTATCTCCCTCCAGTGGGCTTATAACAGTGTAATGTGTAATGGCAGTACATTACACAAGGGGAGATTACACACTTTTCTCCTAAGAAGCAGCTGGTCGATTCAAACCATGTACCTTTGGGTTGGCAGTGCAACTACTTACCACTAAGGCATCAGATGCGTAGTGTTGATGTGAAAAAAGTGACCTACTTTTGTTGAGCATCTATTACAAACTAGTGAATGGACTGTACAATCTTTTCTTTCTTTTTTTTAAATAATTACTTTAAAATACAGCGTAGCTATTTCGAGAGTTTATTAGGGCCACATCTTATATGTGAAAACAGAAAGGCTCATAGAAGGTAGTTAACTAGATTTAAGCTACATTCTAAAATAAGCTTAGAGCTCAAGCTCCCACCTTTCCACTGTGTTAATGAAGTATACTTCCCAGAACAATCTCAAAACCACAGCAGGGGCAGTTCCTGGGGGAGAGACAGTCCCTAAAGAAGAGAGGTACAAGGACCAAAAAGAGTCTGAGCTCAGGAAGAGATGATTTTCCAGGCAGTTCCATTGCTCTGAGGAATCCAGAAAT